GCAACTGCAACAGCAGCAGCAGCAGCAGCACCAGCAACAGCAACAGCAACAGCAACAGCAACAGCAACAGCAACAGCAACAGCAACAGCAACAGTAACAGCAACAGCAACAGCAACAGTAACAGCAGCAACAACGACGACAACAACACTTCCGAGGCACCGGTGCAGAACAGATAGACCGCGTGCAAGAGAGAGAGAGAGAGAGAGAGAGAGAGAGAAAGAGAGAAAGAGAGAAAGAGAGAAAGAGAGACAGAGAGACAGAGAGACCGAGAGAGGGAGAGAGGGAGAGAGGGAGAGAGAGCGAGAGGGAGAGAGCGAGAGGGAGAGAGAGAGAGAGAGAGAGCGGGAGAGAGAGAGAGAGAGAGCGAGAGAGAGAGAGGGAAGGGGGGAGAGAAGGAGTATCAGAGTTTTGTCCTTATATACCTCAAGAAGTTCTGTCTAGGTATTCAGGTCTCTTTACGAAACACTGAAGGTTTCCATAAGATAAACTGCTTGCCGCGGAGGACATCCGGAGACGCGTAGCGCGCGGCGAAGCCCACCGGCAGGTGACTCTGCGAGGATGCGTTTGCTGTGTGTTGCCTCGCAGTCTTTGGGGGAGTAGGGGTCACAAAGGCGTGACGGTATTAGTGTTCGGAGTGATGGGTTTGGGGCTTACTTTCGGGTTTAGTTCGTTGCTTGTGCCATGCGGAGTTTGCAGCACTTCGTTCAGGGTATGGGAAAGTGTCGGGTTTCGGGTTAGTTTTGCTGTTGATGCCAGAGCTCCAAGAAGCTCTGCTTGAACACATTGTGGTCTACAGCTCGAAGAGACATGCTTGCCCTTCGGCCTCTCCTGAACCTAAACCCCAAACCCTAGGCCTTAAACCCTAAACCCTAAGCCTTAGACCCTAAACCCTAAACCCTAAGCCCTTAACCCGGGAAGGCGCGGCTGGCGACGTCCGGGAAGTTTGACCAATGCCCCCCTCCTGGCACGGTGGAGCTCAGCAACCTCGGGACCCCCCTTGGTTCGGCGGGGCGTTTCAAAGGGTTTAGGGTTTCGGGTTTAGGGTTTAGCATCTTCGAGATTTAGGAGGGGAAGTGTTGATGTTTGGAGCTTTAGGCTGGCGGTGTTGAGGGTTTAGGGTTTAGTAGGGTCTTGGGATTGATGTGTTTGGCGCAGTTTGGGCTCAGGGCTTCATGCGATTTCGACATGTGCAAGGGTGTTGGCTTTAAAAGACCGTTTCACAACCCGCACAGAACCCTCTAAAGCCTCGACATTGTCACAACACCCCAATATAGGGGCCTTAATATTAGAATAGGGTTTGGGGGTATAGTTTACTATAGAGATAATAAGGATCCCCCAAAACCCTCTTCTACCTATTCAGGCCCCCACATATTTTATGTCAAGCCTCCTTCCCTGAAGCCCTATAGGCCCCGGTAGCACGCTTAGGCAACCAGCTTTCAGAAGCACCGGAAGCCACACACCCTGAGCCCGGAAGCATTCGGAAAGGAAGTTTCCGGTGACGGGCCACGAGCTGCTGCTGGATCAGCGCTTCGACGGCTACGAGGGTCTGCGGCTGGGCGGATGTTTGTGGAAAGTTTGTGGAAAGGCATCGCAAGTTGTTTGGCAATGCGGGTGTCTAGCAGATTGCTCGAATTTTGTGGGCATTGTGTGTGAACCTCAGGAAGCAAGGGACCTAATGCAAACCCTACTGCAGCTATGGTAGGATACGACTTCTACCGACCCCCCAAGTCTTGAGAAGCCCTTCGCCCCACAGATTGGACATATTCTGTCATCTGCCCCCTCAGGGCTTTGGGGTTTGCTGTGCAAGGTGGGGATTTAGATTTCTTATTGTCTCGTGCAGCCCAGGAGCATTTTGGCCCACACGGAGGGCGGTGGGGGGCCGTTGCGACTCCTTGCGTCGGTGCCTTCGGCATGACTTCTCGTTTGGGGCTCGGGATGTTCAGGGGCTTTGATGATTTGACGTTTGGGTTTAGTAGGGTTTGGGGGCGGCGTGTATTGAAAGCCCCTACACTTGCTGGCAAAACTGAGTATCCCGATGAGAAGACAGGTCTGTATATTTTTGTGAAGGAGTCCAGGTTTAACCCCTTACCGGACCTTCCCATCCAGCCTTCTGCGGTTTGCTGAAGAGACGAATCAAAAGAGGCAAGACTGAAGCCTGGCCACCGTAGACCCGAAGTTGAACATCAGCGCCGGGGTGTCCCATCTTTCGTCTCTGCATCTCTGGCTGTCTCTCTCGCTCTCTCTGTTGTCCTTGAGCCCTTTAGCACTTTAAGGCTTGAGGTTCGGGCTTTCGTCAAGGCGCCCTGACACATAGAAGCGTAGATGCGGCCGCATGCATGCGGTTCATATGGGTAGTTGTCTAAATTGGGGTTCCATTTAGGGTCCTTTTTATAAGGGTGCCGTACTATATTGGGGACCTAAACGGGCCCAAAAATTTAGAAAACTACCCATATGTCATATACGAACCATCGCATGGTCACGGCGGCGGTTCGCAGAAAGAGTGCGACGAATCGTTGTGCTGCTTTGCTCTCCCAAGCACATGACTGACGAGCCCACATCACCCCGCCCACCACCATAAAACCCTAAATCCTAAGCCCTGAACCCTAAACCCGAAGCCCTAAACTCCAAACCCTGAACCCGGAACCCTGAAACCTCAACCCTAAAACCCTAAAACCCTAAACCCGTAAAGCCCCCAACCCTGAACCCGAAGACCTCCCCTGGCTGCGCCGAGTGAGTGATGAAGTCCAAAGACCAAACAATTAACATCAAAGCCTAAGCCCTAAACCCTAAACTTTAAACCCTAAACCCTAAGCCGTAGCCATTTTGGATCAAGCCACAGCCCTGGCTCCGAGCCAGAGAGCTCATGGCTCCGTTGTTTGACTTCATAGGCTCTCCGGCTTGAAGCCAGGGGGCCCATTCCATATCTCTTAGCTCATGGCCTGCGCCGTGACCTTCGCCACGGTCCTTCTGGAGCTGTGGATCACCGGCTGCGCCGTCCGCCCCTCCCGAGAAGAGGTGCAGCCACGTCATTGGCACGGCTCGCATCTTCAGCACCAGTTGCACCTGGCACGGGCAGCCAGGGCTGCAGGTGACCCTCAAGGAGACGCTGATCTTCTCAGGCAATTTGGTCTTGACGGGTGAGAACCGGCTGGAAGGACCCTGTATCAGTGTGAGCGGGAACATGACGGTGATTGCCGCGAATGCCAGCTTCGTTGGCTGCAGCAATAGAATGCACGGCCCGGGTGGAAGAGGAGGAGCTCTGTTCATCCAGCGAGACTTCATCGTCAGCAACAGCCGCGTCAAGTTCGAGAACTGCAGAGCATCAGAAGGCGGCGGCCTCTACGCTGGCGGCAGCTTCCTGCAAGAAGCAGAAAGCGCGGTGACCTTCGAGAACTGCACCTCTGGTTCCGGCGACGGCGGAGGTGCGAGCGTGGGCGAAAACTTCACGCAGGGAGCCAAAAGCTCCGCCGTCTTCCGCAGCTGCAGTGCGAATGAAGGAGGCGGCCTCTACACTGGCGGCAGCTTTTTTGCAAGATGCCGAAAGCAAGATGCTGTGGACAATGAGGCCGAGAAAACAGTGAAGGCTTTAGCCTGAGTGCTTTGGTTCAACTTCTGTGAAGTGCTCAGTGGCCTGAGTAGGGGATTCGTTGAAGCCTCTCCAGTAGACCCCTTCGCTGTGCACTTGGTTCAGGTGAGTTCAGTGCTGCGCGTATCTGCACTTACTTGGCTTCGCCGCGCCGCACCGGCCGTGACTGAACCCCCCCTCCTTTCTGCTTCGCACACCCGCCGTCCCTTCAATCTGGGTGGAACAATCGTTGATCGTCGTCTCCGGTCTTATCGCCTCGTCGCGTCTCTATGGTTTGCTTAGTCTCAGCCCTTGCTATCTACGCCCCTGCCCCTTAAGGTGGCCTCTCTTCGGGTCTTAGCTAACCTAGAAACCACAAACCCTCTTTTGAGCCATGACTTTCGCTCTGCAGCCACCTCCCACTCCGCTGTTTACAGGGATGACGACTGCAGGATTGAGAGAACTCTTGGAGAGCTTGGAAGACGAGGACGCAGCATTCCTGGCACATGGTGTTTTGGTGTTCTTGGGAGAGCTGTCAGAAACATGCCCTGGAGCGATGCGTAGTCTTATGGTACAGAGTTACTGGAGACAACTGGCAAGGACGTGTGAGGTCTTTGTGAGGCCATGGTCTGCGAACTCTGCGGAAGGACAACGGCCTCTTATCCTGATGGAGGTCCTTACTGGAATCAGGGCACGCCTGAGGCTGCGCACCTGGTTCCTGTGGGCCGATGATGCCCTCTCGGCGCTAGTGGAGTTCGATGACTGGAGAAAGGTGGTAGGCGACGGCTGCATGTCACCACAGTTCTTTGCATGAACGGAATGGCTGACCTTGCTTGCCAAGCATGTGGAATTTGGAATTTGGACTTTGTGAACTTCCTGCATGTGCATGGTACGCACCACTGGGTTGCATGCTGCATGATTGCATCAAGACAAGCGAAACTCTGCATGTTATGGCAATTTCTGCATGATGGTCTCATGGATGGGCAATGATAGGGCCCTGTCAGGCTTGTGGAATTCAGAATTTGGTTTCTGTCAACCTCTTTGCACGTGCATGCCAACAGCGTGGACTATGGGACTGGATGGGAGCTTCTGCAAGAATTTCACAGGGTCATCGTCACTCACTAGCTTGCCTTGTAAGTGACATGACGCGACTTTGTTGGTGCCTCCACGAAAGGTAGCTGCATGGTTCAGGGGGCTGAGGGGCCACAGAGTGGGTCGAGACGAGGTGAATGTGCTGTGATGTGATGTGATGTGATGTGATGTGATGTGATGTGATGTGACGTGAGGACATGTGATGCCTTGAGGAGGAAGTGATTGTGGACAGTTTGTTTTTCACCACCCCTAAGACACCGCTAGGATGACTCTCTGCCAATGTTGCTAAGAGTAGCCAGTGTGCTGATCGCTCTGGTACTTGGATCCTCGCCTGCTTGTCTAGTTGTGAGTGCTGAAACCCTAAGCCCTAAACCCTAAACCCACAAGATCCAGAGCTCCAGATCTTCCAAACAAGTAGGCTCCTCCTTATGGAGATCCTTGAGGCGACTTAGAGCTTATGTAGTTGGTGTAGTTTTAAGGATTTAGGGTTTAGGCAAAGGGTTGAGTGTGTTTGGCTTTAAGGATTTGGGGTCCAGGGTTGATGTAGTGTCTCGGGTTCAGGATTTCTGGTTTAGGGTTTATGTAGTTTATATGGTGTGTAGGGTTTAGGGCCTAGAGTTTCTGATTCAGAGCCTGTCGGGCTCATTGGAGTGAAGCATGGAGGTCTCCCACCAAGCAGCATCTCCATGAACGGCAACTGAGTTGGAGCAAAAGGGGTCTTGCATGTGTCCTACATCATAGGGACGCCCTTTAGAGAATCCCAAGCCCAACTCTTTCAGGCCTCCTTAGAAACCCTAACACGCTGACAAAGACCCATAACCTGGGGCCCTAATCCCAAAAACTTTACTCTAATTGTGAGGTTTTTTTTCACTCCCCGAGGTTGGCGACGGTGTAGATGGGTGGGCCATCTCAGAGGCGCCGGACCTTCGTTGTGACGAGACCTTTGTGGACGAAGCCTAAACTTTAAATCCGATCATTCTACCTAAGCATCAAAAGCGTATGAGATGATGTCCGAGTCCGGTCTTTTCTATTCTATTCCATTCTAGTGTATCATATTCTATTATGGAAAGCCTTCAGCCCTAAACTCTATGCCAGAACCGCGGCGAGCAAGGAAGCTAGCAGCTAGCACAAGCAGCACTGGCAGCAGCAATCGCAGCGACACTGCGGCAGAAAGTGTAACACAGAATATTACAGATATCATGGAAGCCTGACTAATTCCCGAGTATTCCGATTATACCATACCCCAAGGCCCTATTTTGTACGTATTGATGCCCCTATGCTACTATACCTGTATCATGTGGAGCAATGTTGTCGGTCGTAAGCCTGACTTGAGAATCGCCTATTGCCTGTAGTCGTTGTTAACCCAAGAAAGGAGCTACAATGGAGTTCAGTGGAGACTATACGCAGCGTCCTAGGCTGGACCCGAAATTCCAAACCCTAAATCCTAAACCCTAAACTATAAACCCAAGCTCTAAACCCTAAACTCTAAACCCTGAACCCTAAACCCCCAAAGCCCCAGATGTCTGACCCTACAGCCCTACAGCTTCAACGCCCAAGCGACCCGACGCCTAGAGCCGAACTCCTAAGTTCCTACGTTTTGCGACGCCCGGATATCCACTAGCCCTAAACCTGAAACCCGAAACTCTAAACTCTAAGCCCTAAACCCTAAACCCTAAATCCTAAACCCTACACCCTGAACCCTAAACCCTAAACCCAAGCTCTAAACCCTAAACTCTTCTGAAACCCTGAACCCTAAACCCCCAAAGCCGCAGATGTCTGACCCTACAGCCCTACA